TGACTTTAAATTTCTGAACTTACTCCATAAAATCAATCATGTTAAATTTCGATTTAAAGCTTTCGTGACTGCAGGGATTCATCTTCTTGGTTATTTCGGTAAAGTCACATAGAAGGGAAATAATAAAATAATAAAACATAATAAAATAATTCTCACGACGTTTCGGCCACAACGCAAGCAGCCGTCCTCAGGTGAAGAACAGGTCTGTCATTCAGACGCTGTCTTTCCGACAGACCTGTTCTTTACCTGAGGACGGCTGCTTGCGTTGTGGCCGAAACGTCGTGAGAATTATTTTATTGTTTTATTATTATTTTATTATTTCCCTTCTACGTGACATTACCGAAAGAACCAAGATGATCAATCATTTTAACACGTAGGCTTTCGCGACCAATGTTATTCATAATCAACGATTTTTGGGTTTAGATCGCGTTTATTTATAAATGTGTCGTAACCCTCCACCACCCGACACGGCCAATCAGTAAAAATGTGTCACGTTGACAAAGACAAATAGTTCACTGCTTTAGCCCACCGGTGTGTTGAAGCAACAACATTTACAATTTGAGTACTCAAATTGTAAATGTTGTTGATACTCAAATTGTTTCAACACACCGGTGGGCTAAAGCAGTGAACTATTTGTCTTTGTCAACGTGACACATTTTTACTGATTGGCCGTGTCGGGTGGTGGAGGGTTACGACACATTTATAAATAAACGCGATCTAAACCCAAAAATCGTTGATTATGAATGATCAATCATGTTATTGCTTTATGGAGTAGAGTCTACGTTCGTACAATTGAAAGCTAGGCATCGGGGCACTTCCGCAGATTTCTAGCGTCTGTGCAGATAGCCTGAGATAAAGCCGTCCCTGTTAAATCCTGGCTGACTGGATGAATGCTGCCGATTGTGTACGAGACCAGCTCCCCTGTTTGGCTGAAAAGACACACTTGCGATTGTGTTCCCTTTTGCACTGTCCTTTGTCATCCAAAGGGGCTACTCAACCATTATTCTTTGTTGAAACATGATATTTTTTTTAATTTGCTGCTATAAAAAGGGCATTTAAATGATGCTGAGAAAGAAAAAAACAAGTTAAGTAATATGTTGGCTGATGGAGCCGTGTTAAGAAACAAACTGTTCGGCATTTTTTTTTGGAAGCAACAATTTAATTCCTACTACATTCTGTATTGTAAATGCTTATTTCTCAGATCGGCAATTATGGTCCATTTAATTGATAAATTAAATAATAAACAGATCATATTCTTGGGTCTTTCGGTAAAGTCACGTAGATAGGTTCAAAGAAAATAACAAAAAACTACGAAGTTTCGATCGCGACACAAGCGATCGTCATCAGGAGCTATTTTTGTCTCCTGATGACGAATGCTTGTGTTGCGATCGAAACGTCGTAGTTTTTTGTTATTTTATTTAAACTTATCTACGTGACTTTCCCGAAAGACCCAAGAATATGGAGTCCTGCAGTCACGAAAGCTTTAAGTCCAGGAATAAACAGTTCAATTATCTTAAAAATACTCGTTAGCCATCTGTAAAGCCGGCAGGTTGGATGTGGCCTATTAAACCCTGGTGCAGAATAATTATCAATGGGCATTAGACCATTGAATGTGTCCAGACAACAATGTGAAATTCGTACAGCTTATTCCCCATTAGTTTCTATGATAAATACACTTTCTTTACCCAGGAAAATGTCACGATTCTCAATACTTTTTCAGGAAAATCCTCACTCCGTTGAGATATTTAACTCATCATTGCACTGCAATTTAAACGATATATGTGATAATTACATTAACTCAAAAAATACAACAATAACAAACATTACAATGGTGCAATACGTTTCAATAACTTTAATAATTTAACAGCAGTCAAGATGATGGATCAGAGGCAAAGGTATTGTATTTAAAAATGTATCGGTCTGTTATTCCATTAGTCATGTATTTTGAAGAACGTCAGCATGCAATACTAGAATGGTTCAAATAAAAACACATTTTCTCAAAAACTACCATATACTTACAAACGTCTGCTCCAAACTACCCTATACTTACAAACACAAAACATTAGGACACTTGTTAACGTTAGCATTGGTGCGTACGTTTTCAGTTGTGCTGCACAGATCTATGATGTGTTTTCGAGTTGTACCACACTATTGGCATGATTCCTGACGTTTCACTCCACCACGTGCTGGCAGCTTTTTCAAGAACTGAATATTCAGTGTCGCTCCACATCGGACAAACATGCTGAACAACATGCCGTACGACCGGGAAACACATCTTGGGAGTTAAACGATAACATCGGGTGATTTTTTTGGTTGCTGATTTGATTCTGCGTTGAGGACACTGATTGTGGACACAATGATCCGAAACAATACGTATATTTGAATGCATATTTCTCCAACTGTGAAATGATGTGATCCAAATAATCACCCAACAATCATATTGCAAGTTTTTGCTGACAGATAATGCCACAACGTTGCTTAGGTGCACATGACATAACAAAACAACTTCGTTTTTTCCCGATCATATAAGGCACTTTTAACACTTAATCGTAAATGACATTAAACAAAAACTAAAACAAGCCCTTTAAACCACTGACATTTAAAATAAACTTTTGCATTTGTTATATCGTTGGATAATTAATTACGAGTAAAATTATATATTTCTATCAACAACGCAATGGGCAATAACCATATTCTCCAACTTATAAGATGCTCCGGAAAGTAAGACACAAAACAAATGTGGAAAATTTTAAATAAAGTAAAAAAAAATCGTCACAAACTCCTACCAGATAATAAAACGCACGACCCCCGCCACCTTATAATCCAGAGAATACAATAACAGTTATGATATCTTGCATCAGGGTCGATAAAATTCAGTTTGTTCTTTAAATGAACACTATCATTACTATATAGTGTATATGTGCTGTATAAGTATGATGGTAATATTTAAATGTTGGTTGTTAAACCTTGTATCCAACAAATGCCCCGCCTTGACTTTATGTCACTGCCATTCAGTACCTTAACTTACGCGAATAGTAAATAGTGTTTTGCATTGAACTTCGCATTAACCGTCAAGAAACACAAGCTCATTCCAAAGCAGAATTCACTCATTACACTGGTCAACACACTTTTTCTGGCATAAGGTATTCCAACGGTTTTAAGGTAATTTTGGGGTACTGATTCCAAATCTGGCATCAGTTTTTGTCTACCACATCAGGTTTTTGAGATATCAAATATTGCATTTTCAATAAAAACTGCAGAAGAAAAATATTAAATAAATGTGGATATCTACATAAAATTATATTATAAACACACTATCCTAAAAATACAGCACCATATTTTAACACTAAAGCAGTCACTGACTCGCAACAACTTGCAATCATAAGTGAAAAAGTTAATTTCGGGTAAAATCAATGAAAATGGGGTATGCCGATAGCATAAAATGAGATGTGATAGAGCAAATCTGAGATCAGATTTGGAATCGGCACCCTGAAATTAGTCTAAAACAGCTGCAAAAGTCCAGGCCAAAAAAAAATGTTTTTTTTTGTTGACCAGTGTTATTTACAAGGCACTCATTTTTACAAGGCAGTTCAGAGTTACATAAAGCTCTTAAAACAAGTCAATTAAGCCAGTGCACTCTTTAAAAATGTAGCATTGATTTGTACAAATCCTGGCCATCTGCTCATAACAAGTAATTCATCATCTCGCCATTCAGTCTTTATGACCAGAAACACTTAGAAAAAGGGTTAGCATTCCTGGTAGCAGTCATTGACAAATAAATAGTGGTGAGGATGCAAAATACTGTAGTGCATTTAGTCAACAGCATGGAATCATTTCTGCATGCAAATTGGGGGCCATGCACTGTACTCTGGCAAAAAAACAAGAATTATTATGTCTGCCAGGATATTTTATTTTACATCATATTTAAGGCACAGTGCTAATCGCTATATCAATGACTACACGTTTGGCAGGTGGGCAAGGTCATACAGAAGCACGCATTTTGGCCTAGGGTAATAATAATCATGCAAATTGTATTTTAATGACTGTCACTATGAAGTACAATTTACTGCGTAACAAGACAACCAGATTTCAACGCTATTCATAGTTGCATAGCTACTTGTGACATTCATTCATGAAATAGCGAAACGTGTTTTGTTTTTTTCCCCACGCAGAATGCTTTGTACAATATTGCTCACACTCGTCTATGCAGAGTCACGCTCGTAGAACATTCACACACACACGAACAGACTCGTAGACATTCATACATATGAACATTCACACACACATGAACAGACTCGTATACATTCATACATATGAACATTCACACACACACGAACAGACTCGTATACATTCATACATATGAACATTCACACACACACGAACAGACTCGTAGACATTCATACATATGAACATTCACACACACACGAACAGACTCGTAGACATTCATACATATGAACATTCACACACACATGAACAGACTCGTAGACATTCATACATATGAACATTCACACACATGTACATACTCGGAGCTACTCTTACCACACGTAACACGACAAGGATGGGGGGACAATCACGAGTGGAATCATCGATTTTTTTGTCACTGTCTAATGTCATGACCTTGCGCCGCGACTCGAACTCCTTCTACGTTGCTGCGCCACAACACAGCATGTAAATTCGTTTAGGAAACAAAGACGAAAAGAGGATCAATTCTAGATTTGAAGCTTTCGTGACTGCAAGGATTCATACTCTTAAGTTTTTTCGGTAAAGTCGCGTAGGTAATTTTTTTTTAATTAATAAAAGTAAAATAAAAATCACGATGTTTCGGAGGCAACACAAGCTTCCGTCACAGCACACTTGCTGTATCAAGTAAATCATTTACTTGATACAGCAAGCGTGCTGTGACGGTTCCACCTGAAGACGGAAGCTTGTGTTGCCTCCGAAACGTCGTGATTTTTATTTTACTTTGATTAATTATTTTTTTATTTTTTTACCTACGTGACTTTACCGAAAAAACCAAAGAGTATGAAGAGAGGATCACACAACAGGAGGAAAAAATGTGGCCAGTTGGTCCCTGTGGTAGGAAAGGAACTTTGAGGGTGGTGGGGTGGGGTGGCTTCTTAACAGCTGTGCTGTTGGCTGAAAGGTATGTGGGCGCTTGAGGGGGACGGCGCAAGTGCCAGTGGCTCGGGCGACACTTGCACGTGGACCGGCCGCAGCTGTGGGCCTCCCTCGTCGCTCAGCCCTCTCAGCAATGCCAGGATGGTGTCCAGCTTCTGATCCATGCGTACGACCTGCAGCGAGGGGGGGGGGGGGGCGGCAACCGCGGACAAAGTAAGCTCAAGCGGGTAAAGCCACCGGCGGAGCTCGCGAGCCGGGCCACTCTTTTTTCATCTCCTCTCCATCCCGTAAAACTGAAGCTTTTATCAGTTGGCTGGGAGCTGGAGCAGATGCCAGCGATGAAAGGGAGCACTCCCTTTGCATTAAGCCTTTTCTTGCTTTGCTAGCCCATTTCTAGGAGACCCCTGCTCAACACTTCGTTGAAAGTCAAGAATAAAATGTGTATTTCTTTTTTTTTTACTCCGTATAAATAATTTGAGATCACTTTGAATTTACATGAATATGCAACATTGTTATTTGCTCGCTGGTCGTTTCATCGCTACATGTGTACATTTAAAAAACACGCTTTAATGAAATGTACCCTACTGGTAATGGAAGAACTCCACGACTCCAAGAAGTGGCCCTGAAGCTTGCCATAACGTAAGGGACCGTGGTCATTTACAGCCAACGTGAGCTTACTGTGGACAATTAGACCCAAGCCGAAACATAACATATAAAAAAGATTGTTTACATTTTTTTTGTTATGATAGAATATAGTATTGTCATCAGTATGACATAAGTATACCAAGTTTGCAGTCGATATCACATTGGAAAGTGGGTTAAAATTGAGTTACAAGATTTGAGGATACAACGACAACAGACAGATCGAGTTAATAGAAAGCGTGTAATAAAAAGGAGCAAATGCAACAACATCAATAACACTGAGGTTTGCACATATACTCATATTTCATACGAAAACAATTATGCATAGAGGAAATACTGTATTTAACATTACGTGCATGTTTTCCAACTTCTGTGAAAATAACGGAATGAGTAGACCCTGGCAGGAATTTAACTCAAATCTCTATGACCAAGAGTTCCTGCTTTAGAAATTGAGGCTGCATCCCAGTTTGTATTGTTACAGTCCGAGTACATTTGTATTATTAATTACCCAATACAAAACAATACTCTCTCAAAAAAGAAGATAGGGTATTTTTGGTGTTTAACCTCTTGTCTTTAATCACGTTCTTTAATTAAATATTTAATCACATGCAAGGAATTCTCAGATGTCCTGGCATGAAGGGCACTCTACCAAAAACGAATCATTATTAATCGTAAAAAGAAATGGAATGGTAAATATTTCACTATATGTTATACTTAAAGTCATGTATAAACAGCCAGCAAACTAAATATAGTTATCTCAATTTGGTTAACAGAGTATGATTAAACTAACATAATTCAAATGTGTTTTTGTTACATATCAAAAAGAGCTTTGAGGGAATTGATTTTGTTTGCATCCCACGTGTATTTGTGGAAATGTATGTACTCCACTGTGCAAAGTGTGAAATCTGATGAAGTATTAATCCAACTCGGGAACATTTCCATCATAAGGAGAAGTGGTGCACGCGATTTTCCTTTTCAATCTTCGGCAGAGCGATGATGGCATAGACTCAAAACAAAGAAACTGTTTTTTTTAGGTTACTTACTCAACATCCACTTTAGCGGGAATTCAGTGCCATAGTCCACATTAACGAATCGGAGTTTGAACGATTGCGTGAGCACTGTTTCAACGGCAGGATTTGGTTTTCATGCTATTGTGCCAAAGTTAAACATTGGCTCGAAATTCATGCCTCTTCAATCAAAATTATACATTTATTTATTTTCCATCCATCCACACGTGCCTGCCCCCCCCCCATTCAACACTAACAGCCAACTCCTTGACACGAAAACCGCCAACTCCGCTAACCACCGAAACAAATGCATGGTGAAATGGGATAACAGAAACAGTATACGTGATATGTGAATGACCAATATTGTTATGCAAATGTGATCATATTTTGTGCATTGGTATAATAGGACCGAATTCACGGATTGAAAAATCGCAGTGCCGAAATCACAAAGTTTGAGGTAAGGCTGCAGAGGAGCGATGTCTGTAGCCAAGGAGCGTATTTCTACAGAGCCTGGTGTGGAATTTCACTCCTGTAGGAGCCGGTGCCAGCAAACCCATCCGTCATCCATCCGCATGGCCATGCAAGGCAGCCTTCCAAAAAAAAAGTTAAGATTTGCCTTTGCCAATTCTTTATTCATTCTTTTTTATTATTACTTTTTCTAGTTTAATCCCAAATGTGCCATCGTTGACATATCATGAGGCGAAGTATCTGTTTGGAAACCTCACAGGAAAGTGCATCATCCCGTGTGTTTTATAATGGCATGCCGCAAGAGCTGTCACGAAAAAAATATTACTGAGATCCCTTCAAGTGACTTTTTACATTCACAAAGTAGTGGATTCACTTTCACATACCTTACCACAGAGAAATGTTTGTCACATGATAGGAAAGTGATATTTATTTAATTATCAGAACTGGAATTTCTCCAGTTTTAGCAGGAAATTATTATTTAATTTATTGTTTTTTTTTTACACGGTCATTTCTGACCATCCTGAGACCATAAACTCACGAAACTGTAAACGTCGTTTAATCAAGGGAGACTATTCAGATTCCAACCCAGCATCTCATTGCCTTGACGCCCGAGGCACCTAGCCACATTTGTATCAACAATTCTAGTGGGCGATTAGTGATTGCGGAGTGAGAAAGAAAATGTGACGTTCAGAGCCTGGCTGCCAGTTTGATGGAGAAGACACACCCTGCCCATAATAATCATCACCATCATCATGCTCACCAATATAATTTGCCCTTTTCAATTTACCTCTGCATGTGCCAACACAACTGCGCGTGGTTCCATACAAGCGCATTGCAGCCAAGGCCTACATTTGTAATCTGATAAAATAAACTATATCATGATGAGATAGTGTCATTGACTATCTCATCATGTTCCCTAAATCCCGTATTAAAATGGTGCAATGTTCGTCAAATTTAACCGCAGTGTTCAAATATGTTGAGGTGGTTATGCCATTTAAAAAAATATATTTTTCATGCCATTTTTATATTGTTGATATTTCAAGCACAACACATTGCGTCATGAAAATTTTGTCATTAAATATATGAACATTATAATCTTCACAGCCATGTCAGTTTCATTAAAATGCGGCAATTGCTAAAGATAAACATTGGTAAGACCTGGTTCAACAGTGACTGCCTACATTAGCTTAACTGAGATTGGACTCATCTCGTTACAAGAATTTAGAGCTTGCTATGCATGAAGCAGCGACACATGGACAGCTGCTTGTTTCAATTACACGTGCCACGACCAACACACCCAAATAACAGCTGCAAATTCCGAAAATGCCCACAACTGGTGAAAGCATGCCACCTGCAAGGCCTTCAAAAACAATCCATAAGGCTGACAAAGACGTGCATGGAAGAACACAAAAATCTAGGGAAGTGCAGCGTACAATCTCAATCGTGTCTCTGTCCTTTTTTATTCTTAGGTTTTTTCCGACAACCCCACCTGAAGACGGAAGCTTGTGTTGCCTCCAAAACGTCGTGATTTTTATTTTTTATTTTATTTTTACTTTCATTAATTTTAATTTTTTACCTACGTGACTTTACCGAAAAAACCTAAGAATATGAATCCTTGCAGTCACGAAAGCTTCAAGTCTCTGTCCTTTGTCACAGGACAAGGTCCGCTAGTGGCTGCTGCCCTCTCTTTAAGGGAGGCCCCGTTTGCTTTGCAGCTTCTCACTCCCGTGCCGGGTTATCCCTCAACACACGAACGGTTGTACTATGACACAAGCCAACGTATGGCGCGTGGCCGTGGTGGGCTTGTTCAGGTGGTTCTACTGCAGAGCACGCTGCATGCCCTCTTCACTCGTGATACAATGTGCTGCCAAGAATAAAAACTAATTTACAAAAAACACAGTAGTGTGCAAAAACTGAATGGGGGTTTCAGAAGAGTGAAGATTTAGACTTTTTTTTAATCAACCTCCCTGGGTAAAATGAAATATAAAGAGAACGTATGTGAACATTATAATTTTTAAGTTGCTTTGTCAATCCACTGCTGGATGAAGGCGTCCCCACTTTGTTAGACGTTAGGGTTGTTTGACCATGCTCCATCACATTAATCATTGTGGATTGGTGAAGGGGGGGGGGGGGTGCTTAGGACTCCTTCAGATATCACTTGCCATTGATGTAAGCCATGGCTGGGAATCGAACTTAAGTCACTGGGTTCATAGCTTGCAGTTGCGCATAACCACTGCTCCGCTGCACCCTGCCAAACAAATACAGCCAATCTGCAAAGTTGGTGTGAGCAGTGTTTCCACATATTTAAGTGTTTGACCGTCATTTTTTTTATTTTATTTGCCCTAAAAATAAAACAAGGGAAATTTGGCAAGGAACATATGTTTTCAGAAGAAGAAAAAATGTAAAGGTCTGCCTGTACAGCACTGATTGGATTAGAATAGTTAAATGTGGGGAGGGAAAGACATGTTGACGGAGCTGTGCGAGAAGGCCTCTACAGATGACTTCTATTTTGAATGTCCCTTGATTTGGCACGAAATAAATAAATTATTAAGCATTACTGTTTTTTAACTGACAACATTGGCCAATTTCTCACGACCTACTCCCATTATATTATCACGAACGTGAAGCAAAATATTCCTCAGAACAAAGCGGGTTGGATAATATACACTATAAAAAAAGAAGCAAAATTTATCGTCAGCTGCTTACCGCAAGGTGAATATGAATTTGAATGATGATCGTGCAATTATTACAGGCATACGTGTTGTGGCAGCACCGCTTGTGCTTGGATGTGGTCAGCTGCTGTAGCACACGCTGCCTTGTGGCGGCGGTGGCCCTTAAGGGGGCAACCGGGGGAATTAAAGGGCGCGTGCACTCGCAAGGAGACTCGCATGCAGAACCACGGTGTCTGATTTCAACTCTTCAGCACTCGCCTTTTGAGACTCCACATTTGTCACGACCGGCTGTTTGCCTGCCGCACAATGCCAACTGAGGCCGGCCTGACTGACAGATACTGCACCCCCAGTCACTCACCCCCTCGCTCCCGCTACCCCTTCACA